CACTCCTCGGCGACGTCTCCTGATGCGTAATTTTCGAGAAACGAGTACAAAGGCGCGGACCGCTCCGTTTGACGGCGGGTACCGGCAAGTGCCGGCGCGACATCGGTATCGGCGCGCGGCGTGGCGGCGCGGCGGCTCGGCCGCAAAGGGCGGGCGGCATCGCAAGGATCGGTCGTAGAGGGATGACCGCGAAGCCAAGGTCGACGGAGGGCACGTGGCAGATTTCGAAGAAATCGGGTGGTTGCTAGGAGACGTCGTAGGGGAGTGAAACGTATAAAATAAGCGAGGGCACCGGGCCCGCACTTCACTTCGATTCATTCTCTTATATTTGTTGCTACGCGCTTCTTTCTTTATATTTGTTGTTACGAGGCTTCACTTATAGCTTGTCACTACGGGACGTACTTGTTGTCATTACGGACTTTACTTGTATTTGCAAAGACTTTCGTTGCGGGATCAAGTATTTCGGCTTTGATTGTAATATTGATGTCACTCGCAGACTAAATTATAATACGTGTGTTATATAATAATTGAAATAAACTGTGCGTATTCACCGTCGGAAAAATTGAGTTGTTCTGATACAAATATCGTTACCCTCAGTGCCACAGGGATGGAGATAAATGTACAAATTAATGATTTACTACAAAAAGGAATAATCGAACACTCAACATCCCCATATAATTCACCTCTATGGATAGTCCCGAAAAAGGAAGATTATCATGGACAGAAAAAATGGAGATTAGTAATCGGCTTCAGGCGACTAAACGAAAAAAACTATTGGCAATGCCTACCCTCTGCCTAATATAACAGACATCTTGGATCAGTTAGGAAGCGCAAAATATTTTTCAATTTTCGATTTGAGATCAGGATTTCACCAGATCCCGATGCATCCAGACGACAACACACAAAACAGCATTCTCTACACAATACGGGCATTATGAGTTCAACAGAATGCCATTTGGATTAAAAAATGCCTCAGCGACTTTCCAACGATTAATGGATAATGTATTAACGGGTCTCCAAGGGTTGGAACTATTTGTCTACTTGGACGATATAGTTATCTATGCAAGCTCGTTACAGGAACATAAAATTAAATTCAATAAATTAATGGAAAGGCTAAGAAGCTAATCTTAGTTTACAACCGGACAAATGCGAATTCTTGAAAAAGAAGTGGCATATCTGGGACATATAATAGACGAAAATGGATTGAGGCCAGATCCTAGGAAAATCAAGGAAAATCGAGGCAGTCAAGGAGTTTCCAGTCCCAAAAACGGTAAAGAATATTAGACAATTTCTGGGTTTATGTGGATATTACAGAAGATTTATCAAGGACTTCTCCAACATTGCAAAACCACTCTCTGACTTAACTAAAAAAGAGCGAAAGTTCGAATGGACTAAGCAGCAAGAAGATGCCTTTACGCACCTTAGGGATGTTTTATGTAAAGAGCCAATTTTTGCATATCCAGATATCTCAAAGCCGTTTAATATAACTACAGACGCATCTGGAATAGCGATAGGAGCAATCCTAAGTCAAGGAGAAATCGGAAAGGACCAGCCAATTTCATACGCCTCGAGAGTCCTGAACGAAGCCGAAACAAGATATTCAGCAATCGAAAGAGAGCTTTTGACGATTGTCTACGCCGTAAACCACTTTCGCCTATATGCCTAGGGTAAAAAATTTTCTTTAATAACAGACTATAAACCATTAACTTGGATAAACAAAGTCGCCGATCCTACATCCAGACTGTTGCGCTGGAAACTAAAACTAAGCGAATATGATTACGAAGTAAAATACAAAGCCGGAAAATTAAACTCCAACACAGATGCACTACATCGAGCCCAAGAGAAATTAAAAAGAAGAAGGAATGACACCAGTACAAAACGCGACCATGGGAATCAACAACAACCAGCTCAAGAAAAATCAAGAGGAAGAAGGAATGGCACCAGTACCCTACTCGAATACGACAATTAACATCTACCGATTCATTACCACAGACGAAAAAACGAAAACAGTATTCATCAAAAGATATTAGCTCAGACGAATCTAACTACTACGACACGGACGACTCAGAAGACAAATTGGCAGACAAGATCAAGAGGAAAAGGCCCTTAAGTTCAAGCACCTCACACGAAAAACACAGAATTAAGAAAAAACATAAGAGAAGTGAAAGAGAAGTACATGTTGCAATCCATCAACCACCCTCAGAATTCAAAGAAAAGACTCCTCCGCCATTAATTTTGAGGAAAAATGATCCTATAGTAATTGCAGACGAGATAGAAGAATTAGACTAAATATATATTCAAAGATCCACCAAAAATCGACTCCTCTTCTGAAACACCTAAAGAAGAATCTTCAAGACCTAAAAAATTAAAAGAAAAATCAGATTCAAGCCCCATAAGAACTGCTCCCACAATTCCCATTAAAATAGTAAAAGAAGATGGACAACTCACCGTTAGAAAATCAGGACAACCGAAAGTAATATCAGAAGAACTGGCTCATACATATATAGAAGAAACAAAAGATCATTTACGGATAAGAAAAGGAACAGTAATAATATTTTTGGACAGGGAAGGAAATCCTACTGACCCGCAGTCAGAAGAATTTATAAAGAAAAAGAAAATTATGATACCTAAATGCAACACCGGAAAAATAATAGAAATTAAATTGAGAAAACAATTAGTACTAGGAATAATAGCACCAATTAAAGAAGAGTTACCTCAAGGCTCAAAAACTCTCTCCCTTTTACTTCAGGAACGAAAGATACAAGAAATTAGCATGCCAAACAGGGAACACGTTAAAAAGATCTTGTGCATCGTCTTCAGCAATACACATATAAAAATTACACTGTGTACAGGGAAAATACAAATACCTCTGCAACAAGATAGATTAGAAATTATTAAAGAAAATCACGAAACTCCACTGGGAGGCCATAAAGGTATTAAGAAAACTTACCATCGTATAAGATATAATTATTATTGGAAAAACATGAAAAAAGATGTAGTAGATTACGTTAAAACCTGCATTGACTGCCAACGAAACAAGCTTGTACGTATGAAAAATAAGGAACCAATGGTTATCACTGACACCCCCATTGAGGCATTTGATAAAATATCTCTGGATATCTTAGGACCACTTCCACTCACCAAAAGAGGCTACAGTTACATATTAACAATACAAAACAACTTAATAAAGTATTCTGTCGCAGCACCTCTTGTTTCATTCACTACAGAAGAAATAGCAAAAGCCTTCACAGACCACTTCATCTGCAAATTCGGATGCCCAAAGGCAATTTTAACAGATCAAGGCATATGTTTCACCAGCTAGTTAATGAAGAAATTAGCAAAAATTTTCCAAATTAAAACGTGCAGAACTTCGTCTTTTCACCCTCAATCCAACGGCGCAGTGGAAAGAAGTCACCACGTATATATCGAATATCTTAAACATTACATTACAAACAAAAGCAATAGGATGAACGGTTACCTCAAGCTATCTTTTCTTATAATACTAGCGTACACGAAGGAACAAAATTTACACCACATGAATTAATATTTGGTAGAAAAGCGAGACAGCCGTCAAAATTCGTCATCGATGAAGACACCAACACCTTTCCGGATTTCGTCGACAATTTAATTACAACTCTATACAATCTTTGAAACACAGCCAGGAACACTTTGCAGCAAGCTAAACATAGGCAAAAATTTTATTACGACAAAAAAATACGTCCTGTATACTACCAAACCGGCGAAAATGTCTTCCTACATAATCCGCCACGAAAAAATAAACTACAGAAGAAATACACTGGCCCACATATTATATCCAGGAACATTGATGACAACAATGTAGAAATACAAATTAGGTTGAAAACCAAAAAAAAAAATAGTTCATAAAGATCGTATCAAGAGGGCGTACGTATAAGGATCGAGAATCAATAATAAGGAAAATTCAGCCTTAAGGACGCAGGATGCGCATGCGCAACAAAGTTGCTTTCACCTTTGCGAAAACCAGGGATACAAATCGCACGTGCCGCACGATCAATCGTAGGAAGAAGGGAAAAAAATGAAAAGGGGAAGAAGAAATGCATAGAAAATCATATCTAGTCGACGCAATTTGTGTAAAAGATGAGGAAATTGTATTTTCATACAAATACGACCACTAAATGCAACGCATGTGTGGGGTCTGTGGGATACAGACCGGACCCAAAACCAAAAGCCGATGGTGGCATTCAAGTAAAAAATCAAATATACTAATTCAGGGTTTTTCCGTCTTTGAATAATAATATATAGTCAATAAAAAAATATCTTGTGGTTTGTGGCCGACGTGTGCGATAAACTTCAGAAAACGTTCAACGGGCGTACCATCGGCTTTAACATACCGGATCACGAGAGTTAATTGGTCAATGTGGGAAATATCTGGTGTTGAATCCACTATCATTGAATAATATTTTGATATCTTGATTTCATCTCTTATTTGTGTTAAAATTTTGTTTGCCATCAACTCAATAAATTCGTCACATATTGTAGAACTCAAGTAATTGGTACATCCCTTTCCCTTGCCGCCATATTGAGCAATATGTTTACTTAAAAACGGATCAAACTCCGCTATGAGTTCCAGCGTCATTAAATAATTTCCGTTATGAAGAGACCCAAGTTTTTCTTCATGTCCCCTAAAAGATAATCCACGCGATGCTAAAGACTTTACAGTCGCAACCACTCGTTTCAAAACTTCACGCCAATAAGTTAGCTCTTCTTGAAATTGAGCGACGAGCTCATGATCGACACGACCGACAATGTCAGATCTACGTTGCAAAGCCAAAACACATGTTTTATGTTCACATGAGTTTTCGTGGCTTTCTAATCTAATCGACGCGTTCTTGCAATCATTGAAACCTACATCTTGTTTTCCAAAGCTAGTTCCACCACCGAATAATAAACAAGGTCCACAAAAAACTTTCCCTGTGCTTGGAGAGTAAATAAGCCATTTTCTTGGACGTTTTTCTCTATTTAACAATTTCCGTTGAAACATTGTTTTTGTCAAAAAACGTGAGACTTTATCTTCATATATTTTCTTACTCAATGAAAAATCTACGTTTATATTTTGATTGAAACCATTTAGTGCAATATATTCTTGTGTTTCGTTATTGATACTCCACTTGGCTGGGTCACAATCCACGATAATTATTGTATTTTGCGACTGCTGACGAAGTAGACGGCGTGGGCACGAACAAATCTTGTGGCTGTATAGTACTAGTAGGAGTTTCGCATTGAACAGGGTCGGTAGCAGACACACTGTGAATAATAATTAGACAATTCCGAATCATCACTTTTTGGTTTTGAAAAAAATGTCTCAATATTTTTCATGTGCTTTATTACATTTTGATGTCTTTCTTCTTGAATGTCGACATTCACCAGATTTCGGTCTTTCACCGTAACATATATGTATATATAATACATATAATATAAACAGGGGCCCACTACCATATAATAAAGGAATATGCAAGGGAAACGACTCGGTGCATGAGCTGCGGAAAAATCTTTAGCAACCTACAACCTGCAATATCCTGCACAGAATGTAGAGACCGCATAGCGGACAGTGGCGGATTAAAGGTCCACAGCGCCCTAGGCAATCACTTTATCGGCGCCCCTGTACCGGCCATAAATGGCAATCATAATACTATAAATTTTAACTAGTTGTTTTTGCAATTACGATGACGTTGTATCATCAAACCCTAGACTTTAGTAGACCAGGACCCTTGTACTTACGCTAATGCGCGAATGAAATATGACGTTATAACTGTGAAGAAATCAAGAGGGACGACAGAACGAACATCGAAATTCATAATTCCTCTCTGCTCTGGGAAATAGGCCTTAATGTATATGTGTATTGACAGATGATGGTGTGTTATGAATATATCACTAGAGAACGTCCCGCGATTTCATCCGCGTAGATCCCGTTACCGTGGGAATAGGATTGCTTTCGATAGCAATCAAAGCATCGTGAATTTCTGAAAATGACTCTTTTAAGCTTTTACAAGCATCTGCTCGAGCTGACCAGCGTGTGTCAGGTGGATTTTTGACAGTAGGTTTATTTTTCTTATCATTACCTAGACGTATTTGTGATTGTACAGTTTCCCATCTTTGAGTTGAAGCTGTAAAAAATGTGTAAATTTCTTGAAGGAGACCAAAGAACCAACAAGCTTCTTGAACGCATTCAGCGGCACATTCACCCACTAGGTTCAGTGAATGTGCGGAGCAGGGTATATAATCTGCTAGGGGACATAGTTCTTTTATTTTCGCCTGTAATCCATTGTATATGCCAGACATATTTGCAGCGTTATCATACGACTGGCCTCTACAGTCTAATATATTAATTTCAAACATGTCTAATGTTTTAATTATAGCATCTGCCATGTCTTGTGGTTTGTGGCCGACGTGTGCGATAAACTTCAGAAAACGTTCAACGGGCGTACCATCGGCTTTAACATACCGGATCACGAGAGTTAATTGGTCAATGTGGGAAATATCTGGTGTTGAATCCACTATCATTGAATAATATTTTGATATCTTGATTTCATCTCTTATTTGTGTTAAAATTTTGTTTGCCATCAACTCAATAAATTCGTCACATATTGTAGAACTCAAGTAATTGGTACATCCCTTTCCCTTGCCGCCATATTGAGCAATATGTTTACTTAAAAACGGATCAAACTCCGCTATGAGTTCCAGCGTCATTAAATAATTTCCGTTATGAAGAGACCCAAGTTTTTCTTCATGTCCCCTAAAAGATAATCCACGCGATGCTAAAGACTTTACAGTCGCAACCACTCGTTTCAAAACTTCACGCCAATAAGTTAGCTCTTCTTGAAATTGAGCGACGAGCTCATGATCGACACGACCGACAATGTCAGATCTACGTTGCAAAGCCAAAACACATGTTTTATGTTCACATGAGTTTTCGTGGCTTTCTAATCGACGCGTTCTTCCAATCATTGAAATCTACATCTTGTTTTCCAAAGCTAGTTCCACCACCGAATAATAAACAAGGTCCACAAAAAACTTTCCCTGTACTTGGAGAGTAAATAAGCCATTTTCTTGGACGTTTTTCTCTATTTAACAATTTCCGTTGAAACATTGTTTTTGTCAAAAAACGTGAAACTTTATCTTCATATATTCTCTTACTCTGGGTCACGATAATCCACGATAATTATTGTATTTTGCGACTGCTGCACAACGTCTACTGCTGACGAAGTAGACGGCGTGGGCACGAACAAATCTTGTGGCTGTATAGTACTAGTAGGAGTTTCGCATTGAACAGGGTCGGTAGCAGACACACTGTGAATAATAATTGCGTTAGACAATTCCAAATCATCACTTTTTGGTTTTCAAAAAAATATCTCAATATTTTTCGTGTGCTTTATTACATTTTGATGTCTTTCTTCTTTTTCTTTAGCCTTCCTTTTATATGATGCACCACTAGGTTTTTTTTTCAATTCACTCATTCTTTGAGAAATACTCTAAAAGGTAATGGATACACACAAATACCACAGCGAGAACGTAAACAATAGAAGCGCGCGTAACTGACTGACGACAACAAAGCTTAGTTGCCGCCCCCGCGCTAGTCGCGCCTCTACCCCGCCCGACGCTCGAGAACGACGCGACGACGCAACAAACGCGCAATATTGCATAATACGAGTATATCGATGCTTGTGCAATATAATCTATTGTTATTTCGAGGGTGGTATGCTATTCGGCTTGCCTTTGTTCCCGAGCGCACCGATGCGCCCCTTGTAACTACACGCCCCTAGGCACGTGCCTAGTTTGCCTTACGGATAATCCGCCTCTGATAGCGGATAACAGTAATACGAGTAATACGAGTTATGCGATCGCAATAATACATCTTGCAATAACTGATTCTTTACTCATCGCGCATAATGTGTAATGTGTACATGGCGAGGAACTTTCGTAAACGAATTGATGTGTAAAAAAGGTGGATATTTTTAACGTTTCGATACTAAGGACTGGACAATCGTGGTGCTTATGTGATTGTGTGTTTGTTTAGTGTGGATTTCGGAAATTGTACTATTATTATACGGAAGACATCAAATATGACAGTCACCCTTTTTACTTGACAATCCCAT